CCGTCCAAAAAATTATTTTGGTCCAGGACCGACTGGTCCCACCCCACCTGTCACTCTGAGCGCACCCTGCCGGCCAGGTAACCCCTGGAGCTGGGGAGTCGTCGCACGAAGGTCCGGTGTTTTTCTTTCTCTCTCTGGACCCCAACAAACTTCTCATCTGGATCTTTGTGGTGCTACCTGGTTACGACAAGAAGGTGTAGGGGAAGTGTACCTGTGTCCCCCGAACAGGACCAGAATCGAACCGAGTTGGCTGTGGGGGACTTTGTCTTCAATACAACAGGTCTCAGCCTCAGTGAGCAACCCGTTACCTTTAAACGAAGGACTGTCCACCTCAGTGGGAATCACTGTGTTAGGCTGGAGGAGACACTCCGATGTTTTGAAGCGCCGCCTGAATCCGGACTGGAGCAGAACCAGGCCAGGGACAACTTCAGCCACTTTAGCCTCTTCAGTCAGTCTCATCATTGTTCACCGGAGGTAGCCTCTCGTGCTGTGGAGCACCGGAGCCAGACTGGAGCAGAACCGAACCGGACCAGTGACGACTTCAGCCTCTTCGGTCAGTCTCATCGTTTTTCACCGGGGGTGTCCTCTCATGCTGTTGGATACGGAGGTGATGTGCAGAGAAGCGGAGTGAAGCGCGGAGGAGCAGCACTGTGTGGTGCTCGAGAGAAGTCCAGAGTTTACATTGGAGTTGCTGTAGGCTTACATCCGACCTCACCTGGTTAATAAATAATTTTTATTCCAGATCACGCTGTTGTCCCGTTGACCTGAAACGAGCTAGGACCATGCCTTTCATTTCAGGAGAATTTTCTGGCAGCTCGCTCTGTTATTTGCTGCAAATTATCTGTTTCTGCCTGTTGATTCTGGACCCTGATTCTGTTTCTCATGGGAGCATCCATCTATCTTCGCAGGGGGGCTGGAGCCCCCCCTCAGTCCAACTCAAACTGCAGTTGGGCCACCTCGTCGGATTTGTTTGTCCATTTGATTTGTGATGCTTTATGGTCTGAAACTTTTCTGCACCATTCATATTACTGTCACTATTTTCAGTTCTTAGATTATCTGGAGTCACTGAATCTTGTTAATACACCTGAATCTGTCCATCACTGCAACTTTCACTGTTTTTGGGTTCTGAATGATCACGTCTTCATTAATGTTTCTCATGGTTCGATTATGGGGGCTAACTGTCACACTGTTAACTCCTGTAATTACACATCAGTCACGAAAAACTCAAGAAAATGTCTGATAATAATGTTGTTACTGCTCTCAGGCATTCAACCCAACCCTGGACCCCCCACTAATTACAGCACACCAAATGACTTTAAAAACATGTCAGGACTTCATTCTCCCACTAGACCAAACAAAAACTGTCCTAAAAAATCTTCCATCTTAGACCTGTTTCTAACAAATATGCCTCACAAATTCCCTGGTACAGGTGTATTTGCTGACATTTTGAGTGATCATTGTGTAATAGCGGCTCTCAGAGATATTAAACTTCCACCTTCTAAGCCCGGATGAATTCAAAAAAGGGATTTGAAACATTTTTGTAAACAGTCATTCTTCTGGGATCTATCTCACTTTGACTGGCATTGTATTCTATTAACTGACGACGTGAACTCTGCTTGGAACTATTTTCATAATAACAAAGTCCATGCTCAATAATCCAGGTACACAATCCAACATTTTTCAGTCAGGTCATCTGGACAGTTTCTTTTTTTGTGCTGAAACATTTCGCCTTCGATCCAGAAGACTTCATCAGTCAAGGAAACACACAACAAAACTGATTCTTCCCCAACAGCTTACTCCAAAGTGGAACAAACCAGTTTTGTTTGTGACAAGATGGTCTCTTTGGTACGCCCCCTCCTCCATTGCCGGCCTTCTTACTTGTTGACAGTCATGTCAAACTGACAAGATGGTCTCTTTGGAATGCCCCCTCTGTAAGGATCCCACTGCCTGCAGCCTGCCTTGCTGATGGCCGCTGA